TTTTAAGGATCCCATCTGTTTCTATTGCCTGTGACATATTTTGACCAGAGCTGACTGGAAACGTTTTTATACAGTTGCTTGGTTGAGACACATCACTTCACTGCATCTGAAACATTTTGCAAAAACATGTTTGTTTTTGTGTATGGGAAGATTTGTTTCAGAACTAAAATCTTCAAGGCAGGTAAATCTGCAGTTTGACTTAAAGCACTGTGCTTGCATTTTTTGTAACAATTCTGTTCTGCAAAAATATTTCTGTATCAATGCAGTACATAAACTCCAGGAGCTGCCTCCCAATTCCATATTGTTACCTCTTGATGCTAATTTTGGTTGGGTGCTTCACTTACAAGTACTGTTTGTATTTCATGCTTTCCAAGTCTGATTAAGATTTGTATTGCTCTGATGCTTGCAAGCAGCATGTTAACATGAACATGAGCAGAAGAAGAGCTTTATAGTTCATCTCAACCTTGGCTTTCATGCCTTTCATGTCTTTCTAACATGACATGCAAATTAACAACAGATGTTTGTCTTTGGCCAGCAAAATTTACATCCCAAATTTGTACTGCTGCTTAATGACTTCAGACAGTAAATCATGTAATATCAATCAATTAAAGCAAATTCCGTAAAGTAGTTCAGTGAACTTTCTACTCCTAGGATTTATTCTATTTATATGTCAAAAGAGCAGAAATATGTGCAATATCTGACTGCTATGTATATATGCTATGTATGATGGCATTGTGTACCCTCTCGGGCTGCATACAAAAAGATTCTCTCTTTATCATTTTGTGCCTTACACATATCTCAGAATCAACCTCTTCTATGTTTCCAAGGCCTGGGGATTCCTTTTCCCACTGATTGAACCACATCCATTTCAGCTTTTCATTCATATTCACCTTACTCCAAACTGCAAAGAAACAATTTTCCTAACCAACATTCCTCATGATTAGGTCCAAATTGTTTTTAAATCTCTTTGGGTTTTCCTTTCCCACCCCTGTCTGGATTCCTGCTAGGGTCCACTTCTTGCAGTGTGGTGCCTGAGCTCCAGTTATCCTGGCTCCCATAGATGTCAGTGGAATTTTCAGCACTGCAAAAGAAGGACCTTCTCCCGTGTTTTCCACTTCTCTTGGAAATTCCCCTTAACCCAAGCTGATGAGACCAACCTAGGCTGTCATCTTTCGTGATCCCATCCTGCTCCTATTTGTGCACAATGACACTGCATCAAAAAAAAATTTCTGAAATTAACAAGTGTTGAATTAAACTACATCATTAATTTGCACTAGTTTCCATTACTGCCCTTTACAAGTTACGTCACACTCTTAATCCCGAGAAGACTCATATGTTATGTGTGTTTTTGCAAAAAAGTCAAGAGTATGACTATAGACTTCCCTAGGGACTTAGGTTTACTAACAATGATAGTCTTGAAATACATCATCAGAAGCAGATTTCTTACTTATATATAGATTTAATTGCACTTTCAAAATCAGATACATGAGTCTATTATTAAAATTAAGAAGGTTGTTTAAATATTTAGCATTAAAAAACAAAAAACAAAAACCAAAAAAGCCACACCCAAACCCACCCAAAACAAACAACCAAATAAGGATCCTAAGGCTCTTTTTGGTACCTTTTAGTAGGTAAAAAAGTTGTCTTTTCATGATTTTCTGCTATTTTTGATCCAGGTACAGCGAGAAGTGAAAATGCAAAAAGACTGTGAAGTTGACTTTCTCCTTAGAGTTATGATTCCATACTGAAGATTGGTGAAATTCAAAACCTCTTGAAAAGTTTTGGTTGAGCATAAGACTTTGACTGCTTAGAAGACTAGCCTTTGGATGTTTTTGACAATTCAAATGATTTGCAGGCCATTAGTGTTTCTAAAATGTTTTCCAAAACTTTGAATGTGCTACATTTTGTCTATTTGAGCTGTATATATATGGCTGGGGCTTGAGCAAGTAGAAAATCTTGTGAATAAAACAGAACCAATTGAAAAATGCTATCAGAAAGAGGGAGAATGGATATAATTCTTACAATACTTCTCTTACAGATGACAAAAATAGTTTTGAAACAGATGGAAGAGAGGTAAAAATTATTTTTTTCTACATCTGAGTAACTTTTAGCTGCTACCTCCAACATATTCAGTGGTACTTATGCTTTTTTGATATTCTGCACTTTACAGCCTGTCAATCAGTAAGATTTCTTCTACTATTATTAGTGCCATCTGAGTGAATGGTAGGAACTCATACAAATTGCCAGTCAGTTGTAGAAAATGACAGAAAATATAAAATACAGGTCTGTGTCTGGTTAAAAACATCCAGGTGATAAATAAAATTGCATTTGATGGATCTAATTAGGGAAGAAATAGCATTGGAATACATTGTGGTGGCTGTGATTAGCATAATGCTTTTCAAGCTCTGGAAATACCTGCAAAACATCAGAAAGATTCATTCAGCTCCTCCTTTTTACACAATGTGTGTTTTAGCCATGGAAGTCCTTAAACCAGAAGTTAGGGTCTTCAGATGGGTTTTCTGGAACACATTGTTGATTACTGCATTTTAGAAGCCAGCGCATGCTTTTAGTTTTGGCAAAAAAATTGCCTCTTACTGCTAAATTGGTTTGGTTTGGTTTGGTTTTTTTCCTGGTTGTTGCTAAATGAATTGGGTTCAGTGATTTGTACACCGAGTTTTGAATGTGGGAGCTGAAACAACAGATGCATGGAGCAGGAAAAAGAATGCGCTGGCTAATGGGCAAAGGGAATCTACCAATTACTTAGAAGCATAAAATCTTCCCTCTGATGGAAATTTTTTTTCTCAGTTAGATATACAACAGCATGTATAATGTTTCCATCGTTCTGATTGCAGTAGGTATTTAAATTTCATTTATGACATTATTCCTAGCTGTTGTAGAGCTAACTAAACCATAAAAATGAGGTCTTTTGAAAGTGTAGTCTATGGTATTAATAAGAGAGCTATGCCTTCTAGGGGAAAAAGATGTTTTCCACTTGCACAGACTTGTACTACAATACTGTCAAATCTAAGCTGAATGTAACACTTTAAATTTCAGACAGAAAGGTCTAATTCTGAATCTGTCCTCTGGCCTGGGTACTTTCCCTTGTCCATTATATACAATGTACTCAGCTTCTAAGGTAAGCCTTTCACATTGCTTTTTAAAGAAATCCCCATCAAGTGTTTACCAAAGAATTGTATCAGCATAACATGGTCACATTTTCAGGACACAAAATAGCGTTGCTCCCCTGAAATAATGTAAATTAGCTCTAGCTGAGAACTAAGAATCATTGAAGCTATGTAAATGAAATCCAGCTGAGGATATGTCTGATCATTGGAATATTTTTGCCTTTGATTAAATGGTATTACATCAGTGCTCACAATCTGTCCTCATTCTGGGAAGTGATGACTTTTACTAGGCTCACACAACTAGTTTACTTAAAACTGCAGATGCACAAAAGTGCTAGATTTAACATATAGAACCAAGAATAACATTTCTGGTAGGTGGGTGGTGAGTTGCCTGACTTCATAGATTTCGCCTTAAATTTTTGCTCTGAATTTAAATCCCAGAACTTATAGAAATGAGGAATGAATGATTTTGAGTGAAACTCCAGAAGCAACTTGCTCAGCTCAGGTTTGCTTCAAATGAAAAATTCTAACAATATTTGTTTGAACATAGCTAAATTTTAGCTTGGGGAAAAAAAGAGATAGTTATTATTGGTAAGAAAGTCTAGTTTTCCGTTTCCTTTTTCTCTTTTTCACAGAAGTTTCTCATTACTCAAAATCTGAACTACATTCAAACCAGACAGTTTCACGTCTTTAAAAAAGCTTACTTAACATTATTTCAAAGTGATACTGTACACTGGTTGTATTATGTTGACATTTCTTCATTCTTGGTTATCTTTTTACCTTTGGGGTTTTTGTTATTGTTTTGGTTTGGGGTTTTTTAGTGTATGTTTTACTTCTTTGCCTGTTCATTTTTGATGGACTTGTTTCTTCTTCTTCCCTGAAAGGAAACGATTTTACTTGTTAGCATATTGATGTTTCATGCAATATGACAGTGTTGGTGTCAATACTGTAAGATTGTCAAATTATGGTTTTCAAATAGGGTAATTTTTCTCCTTGGTAGTACTTCTGTATTTGCAATTACAGAGGAGTGACCTAACACTGTCAAGTTTCTGACTATTTCTCAAAGATCTAACTCCTAAAATTAGTCTGAAAAGGAACTCAACATTTAAACAAAATTAGTATATGCACACTCTTCATGGTATGGAGAAATCTTAGAAAGATAGACTTTAAAGACTGAAACTAAACCCCCTCCAAATTCAGAAATACTTGACTTTGAAAATCTTATTTGTAGGCTATTATATTAGGTAAACACATGAGTTGTTTGTTGCTTGCTTTTTAATTGCAAGAGAAACAGTAGGGCAATCATCTAACTGAGAGAGTAGGTGTCATCCAGTGAAGGGAGCCACATGAAACTACAGCTAGAATAAGTGGGACTTGGCATATATTTTTCTACCTTTCCATAAATGTGTCAAAGCTTTTAGTCCAGTTTACAGCAATACTTATTGCATGTCTAGGTCAGGCCAGTGCCAGGTTCCATCTTTTACTGGTGCATATGAAGTGTCAGTCTTGCCATTGCTTTTGAGCACCAGCAGAAACCAGGTCTTGAAAAATTCATTTCTATGTTTTTTACTGCACTGTGCCTTAAATTGCATGGTGCTTGTCCATTTTTTGTTTAGAACATGTTTGCACTTACTTTTGAGCATAAGTGAAAGTCCTTAGTTTCCTATACTAATGGTTTTGTTTTGTTTTGTTTTATTCTAGGCTTTTATAAATACTTTCTCCAAAGCACTACAAGCAGAGTATAAGGCAAAGGGAATTATCATACAGGTGATACTATATCTTGCCATATTAGCCTTCATTTTAGCAAATTCTTCAAGAATGCTTCACATGCCAAAATCTGTGTCATGTAGCTGTGGTCAGTGTACTGCTGTGTGACCCTGTCAAAGCTCTGTCTCCTCCCTGTGTGCAGCTTTTTTTCTTATTTCACCATGGTACTATAACTTCTTTCACATAGTGCCTTTATTCATTGCAAATATCTGTTATAATTGGTCATATGCTGTGGGATTATGCAGAGTGAATGGCCTTATGTAAGTGTTAGATGGCATTACACTGTTATTATGATTTCTTATTGTAGGTCTTGACTCCGTATGGCATTTCTACTCCAATGACAATGTACCAAAAACCTGGTCTTTTTATAAAGACAGCGGAAGATTTTGTTCGTGAATCACTGGATTATGTCACTTTTGGAGATGAGATTTTTGGATGTTTAGCCCATGAAATTCTGGTAATTGAATCTGAATGTATGTAAATGGATTCCAAAGATTTGAAACAAGTCTGTCTGGGCTCAGTGGGTTTTTTGACTGGTTTCAGAGACTTTGGACATCAAAAGATAGAGAGAGAATGGGTTGTTAAGGCTAATATGGCACCAGTAAAATATGAAGAGAGAAATACACAAGTAAAGCACAGTGTAGTTTTCTCTATGATTGTCGTGAGATGAGCTCAGTGTGATATCTGGCTAGTCTTTATCCTTTCCCTAGCTGCCTTTTTTCATGACCCTGTTAGAAATTTTCCGAGACCTCTACTCTGTCACAAAAACTGGTCAGCAGGTTCAAAAGCTATTAGTGGGGAAAGGGAAGGAGATAAAACCAAACTGTGCTATCACAGAAACATCAACACCTTAGGATACCACGCTAACAAAATAGAATAAATATTTATACATGGCAGCTGTTAATGATGAGCATTAATGAGACTGTAGGGTAGGGAACAGATTTGCTGAAAACTGAGAAAACTAGTATTTCCCTCTAAGGGAAATGTACATACTGAAAGTCCAAAGTAAAAGCTTTTGCATTTACTTCTTTCTGTGACCTTTCTGAACAGACAGTTATTTTCTTTCAAGAGTTTTCTATAACCTCTTGCCTTTGTATTGTTTTTGCTGGGCTATTCTGCAGGCACGTATCCTGCAGTTCATCCCTTTGTGGGTATTTCACAGCGACACACTTCAAGAAGCAGTCCTGCGTGTGTTTCTTGGCTACCTGAAGAAGAGGTGGAGAAAACCCTAACAGAGTCATTTACTTCAGAAAATGTGCAATGGGAAACCTCAGCAAGATGCACTACACAGTGTGTATGCATAACTTGGATCAAATCACATGACTTGATAGGTGACTCAGATAAATCTAGTTATAGCTGAATATAAATCTGAATCTATTAAGTAAATTAATTCTTGTCCCTTTCCAAAGAGCATAAAATTTGCCACAGTGATTTCTGTGGGCCTTAGATAGGCTGTAAGAATATTATTGTAAGAATATTACTGTTTTAACAGAAGTTTTGGGGCCACAAATATTTATGCTTACTTGCTGTTCATGAATAAAAGTATGACTATTATAACAAAAGTTTGGGGGCCACAAATATGTCTGCTTATTTGCTGTTCATAAATAAAACAAAAATTTGCTTTATTTCTAACTTGTTCACAGTGTATTTTGATCCATTCGGTGAGTGTTTTGTGTCTTTGATTTCTTCGGAAAAGTCAAGGAAATTTGCAAGAAGGAAAAAAGTAAAGCTGTCAGAATGTAAAGTACACACTGGACCTTTGGATGTCTACAAGGATAAAAAGTGTATTTCTATCCAGAGCCTGTGAATGACTCTGCAGTATCTGATATGACTAGAGAAACCAGGAGCACATGGAAATGATGTGCAGTGATTGCACACTCCTGAGTGAATCCAGAATGCAAATATTTTGACTGTAGATACCTATGAAATCATACTGGGTACTATTAAAAAGCAATTCAAGAACAATGCAATCACTAGGCACAGCCAGAATGGGTTGAAAAAGGGAAAGTCATGCCTAATTGATTTGATGTTCTTCTACAATAACTTCACTTGCCTAGTGGATGAAGGGAAAGTGGTGAATGTGGCTTTTCTTTATTCTAGTAAGGCTTTAGATACTGTCCCTCACAGCATCCTTCTGGACAAGTTGTCCAGCTGTGAGATGTGCAGGTACACAGTGTGCTGGGTGAAGAACTGGCTGAACAGCAGGGCTCCAGGGGTTGCAGTGCATGGGGCTTCATCTAGCTGGCAAGAAGTTCTTTGAGCACCAGTTCCTTGGGGCTCAGATCTAGGAACAGTTCTGTTCTACATGTTTATCAGTACTCTGGATGCTGCAGTTGAATGCACCATTAGTAAATTTGTTGACAAAAACTAAACTGAGAGATGTTGGTGTCTCTATTCAGGGACAAGAGCCTTGCAGAGGAATCTGTAGAAACTGAAGCATTGGACAATCATTGTTGGCATGAAATTTAACAAGTACAAATACCAGATTCTGTCCCAGGATGGAGTAATGCTGGGCACAAGTACAAACTGGGAGAGGAGTGGCTGGAGAGCAGCCCTGCAGAAAGGGACCTGGGGCTGCTGGTGGGCAGCAGCTCAGTGTGAGTCAGCAGTGTGCCTTGGCAGCCAGGAGGGCAAACCCCATCCTGGGGTGCATCAGACACAGCATCACCAGCAGGCCAAAACAGGGGATCATCCTGCTGTGTCCAGCAGAGGTGCAGCCTCACCCTGAGTACTGTGTGCAGTGCTGGGCCCCACAGTCCCAGAAGGAGAATGCATCCAGAGAAGGGTAATGCTGGTGGAAAGCCTATCCTGTTGGTGTGGCTGAGGACTCTGGGTTTGGCTGGTTTGGAGAGAATGAGGCTGAGGGATGACCTCATTGCTCT